CTGTCAGAATAGTTTCGCTCTCACTTCCGGCCACAGAAGATGGTAGTGTTACAGCAGCTCGATGCTTGCGGCGTATGGGCAAGCTGTGCGTCTCACTTCCATATTTTGTGGAAGTTGTGTTGCTCGTTGTTGTGAGCATATATGTTCAATCAGTCACCAGGTTAACAGGTGACTGAGTTCGTGGCTTTTTCGTACGATTTATCATAAGTAATTGGTGGGAGAGATATTGGTTACAACCATGGAACTGGAGGAACACTTGTGCGAGTCTCAAAGTGGAAATAGAAATACATAGCGAATCAAGCTAAAACGTAACGCAAATGTTGAACGCATGACTGTTTCGTAAATGAGTCGGAATTTTTGATACTTAGACTCAACAGATGCAAAGTATTATGTAGTGCAATGTGTTTACACATTGGGCTTACCAAATTTAGCGAGGTGGTTACTGAAGCTGCTCTAAGGTAACAATCTGCTTTTCCCGGTGGACTAAAATAGAAGTAACTACTCAGATTACTGTTTGATCGCCCACTTCCTCTAGATACAGTCACTGGAGACCCGGCTGGTGAAAAATCAATAAAAATGTGGCCATCTTGTAGTGGTAACAGTGGTCAACAAGCATATGATCCCAATAAAATTTCATAACCACTTACGATTTATTGCACTAAAAGTTTAAATAGTGCGTCTTGGAATTTATTCGAATAGTTTTTCCACGTTTTCATGCCCCCCATGTAATTGAAAATTTATGCTAGTGATGTGATGTTGGCATAAAGTACTACTAGCTGTCTTAATGCCTCTTCTCAGTTGGCTGCCCACAGATCTAACTAGATGAAAGAGGTACTTTGAGAGTTATTTCAGAAACATTGGTGCAAGTGTCATGTTTTTTCGTGTTTATGTTCAGAGAATAGTACCAGAGAGCAGAAACCTACCTAAGCCTGATGTTGAACGGCTTAATTGGTAGCTGTTGATTTTGTATGGATGGAGACATGTTTTAGTGTTCCGTCTGCTACCTACAATAGGAGTGTGAATGTAAATACATTTTTCACAATACTTCTCACAACGCAAAGTTATCATTTCTGTTTTGGATATGTATAGGCGGTTAAATCAGAAGTGTTAAAGCATCATTCTTGGTACTGATAAGTACGTGCCAGCATGAAGGTTGACATGGGTTGACTTTCTAGGATGAGCTGCTTATGGTAAACATGAGTTAATCTCTCTGACTGAGTAAATAAAAAGTAGGGAAAATTACCCAAACTTTTGAATATTTACAGTACTCTCATGTGTTTCGAAAATATCTGTTGGGTTAAGAATTAATTGCTTAGTAAAAAGATAATTGACGAAATCCATGCTTACATAATACATTTACTTAGTTTGGATGTCAGATAAATCTATGTTTCCGAAATCGACTTGATTATTCACGCAGCGCCACATTCGAGTTATTTACCTTGGTGTCTCTGTGTCCTTTGCTCCCAGTCCAAACTTTTCTTACATGCCTTCAAATTCAAAAAACCACAGAGAGTATTACATTTAGTATAGGAGAGAAATTTTGTGGTGCACCTCACTTTAGTAGACTTGTTGATTGTGGACGGCTTCATAATCCACGACAAGTAATGCAAGTGAACAAGAATTTCCTTACAAATTTAAGTGATGGACTACTGACACTGTGTATGGTGTGACTGTTGGCGAACATAGATGGTGCTGTGATGACCGAATACATAAACTCTCATTGTACAAATGTGCTTTAAGCAGGAAGCAGAAGTCTCAAGTCGGAGTTATTAGTGCTGTACATAATAATGAAGTCATATAATCCATTATTTATCAGCCTCAATTTGAGAGGCACCATGAGGGACTAATGATGATGGTTTTGTTTTAATCCAGGTCACTCATCCCCAGACTCAAAAATACACTACATTTTCTAACCAACAATTCAAAAATGCTTAGAATCATCTTCATTGCAAATAGACATCATGTAAATTCATGTGGCACTGGAGAAATTGTGAGTTTTGGCTGTTGTTAGCAATTTTAAAATTGGTTTAAACCCTCAAGCAGATATATAAAAAAATGGGATGCTACGTTATCTGTGTACATGAATTTACCAAAACAGCAGGACAAATCAAACAGTGGCAAGTAACGCAGCACTCAGTTGTTCCGCGCATTTTCGACAAATTCAAACAATAATGGTGCCTAGGATTATATCATATAGATTGTTTTAACTTACGCAAAGTGTACTTACTGTTATTATTGCATTACCTTCCCTGTATATATATTTCGTGTCAGTGGAAAATTTCAAAATGCTTACTCCATGTATACATCATTATCATATTGACGATGCCTGTTAACTGGAGTCCCTCATGTGCACAAGATGCATTTTATTGTTATATGAGGGAATTAACTTCAAGTTTTATTTCTTCCCAAGTATCTGTTAATACGAAGTCAATATCTCTATATTTCTTGATGTGATCCATTGAACCACTAGTTATTAAATTTTTTCCACAAACTAAAGACAAAAAGACAGCAACCATGTAGTTTAAATTTGTGATTTAAATAATACTTATCCATGCCTATACAACTGGTTGGTCCTGCATAGGAAGGAATAAATATGTACCTTATTACATTATCATTACTAACTATGCCTACTAATCGCATGTGAAATTTGTCAAACTGGTGGTGCCTGTAAACTGGCGTCCGTCATGTACAAAAATGAGAATATATTATTATTTATTATTGCATTTCCTAAATAAGGAATACGTTATTAATGAGTCAGGTAGTCGATTAAACAAGATTCCATGCCTACCTTCTCGATGTGTGCCTTCATCACTTGAAATACGCATTGCACTGTTCTGCTGCGAGGATGCGGTGTGTAGGTTGTAGCTAACTGCAGATCATAGCCCCAAAGCATTTTGAATACATAAAAGCAGTAAACAACTGATCACTAGAAATTTAGTCAGTCAGTCACCTGCGATGTATCTTCTTCAATTAGACGGAACAATGGCGGCCTATCGACGGCCGTAATTTTGAGTGCCCGCGAGTGAGATAAACAAATTATTTACTCGCTTGTGATTGGTCTGCTATCTTACTGAAGAAGAACCAACTGGCTGTGCTCCAAATGAAGCCTGCATTGGTGCTAGGGAAGTTACAGAGACTCACATTTGGAAAGTCCCCAGGTGGTGATTAAATCAAGCCATCTGCTCTAAGACAGCGCGGTAGAGTGTCAGCCGTTCTCCTATTTTCAAGGTTGGAGATGGGCAAAATGACACCAATCGTTGACCAGTAGCGCTACTCCCTGTGGTATCAAAAGTACTGGAAAGTGTAATCGGTGATGACATTAGGTAACACCTTGACAGGACTGATTGACTGTACTAAGCACATAAAGGTTTCTGAAGAGGTAGAACCTGGGTATCAAACCTACTATCAGCTTGGGACGACTATACGTCGCGGTGGTATATAAATATTCAGGTTTATGTGGTTTTCCTGGACTTCTAGAAGGTATTCGACATACTTCACTTTGACCTTCTACTGCACAAAATAAATCAGGAAGATATAGGTGGGCTGCTTCCGTCTTGGTTGGAGAAGTACCTAGATGAAATAAAGTGTCCAAAAGACTCAGGTAGGTTACAGGCAGACCTAAATCTTCTGGAAGACTGGGCGATGGTGAGTGGTATGACTTTCAACCTGAGTGCAGAGTAGTACAACTACGCACCCATAGGCTGTAGAATGTAAGTTACACCCTGTACAACGAAAACTTAATCTGCACAACGTCGGAGCGTGACTTCGGTGCAGTTCTAGGGGAAAAAGGGGACACTCACTCCTCAGCTCTTTCTGAGGTCGTACAAAGCATCCATCAAACCACATCTTGAATTGCACAGAATCACGGCCCACACGACTGCTTAGGAGAGAATACAGAGACGATCGTCAAAGAGGGTGATGGATCTCCGAAACAAACCATATGATGAATGGCTGCAGAAATTGGATATTTTCACTCCTAACTGGCGTCGACTTAGGAGAGCTTAATTTCTGACTATCGCATTACGAATGACTAGAATCACCCAGACAAAGGTATGCTGCCACCTCGTCCGTATGTGCTTGTGGGAATCCACGATGGATCGCTCACCAGAGGGCAAAGACTCAAGTGCGCTCCCATATCTTTTCACTTCGAGTTTGCCGTCACTAGAACTCTTTATCAGCATATGTGGCTACTGCATATTCCTTGTACAGCTTAGATTGGAGTCTGGAAAATTTTGCAGCCATACAAGAACTGCTTCCGAACAGCCAGTACCCTTAAAATCTCATACACAACTGAACTCATCCTTTTACTTGTTCACATTCTCTCCTGTCTTACTCTCCTGACTATTCCAACTATTGCGTCTCTAACACTATTATTATTACTGGCGTGTATATATATATGTAAGCTTACACATGTACTGTATTTATGTATGGTTGAATTTCGAATTTCATTGGCTGTCTCCTTTTACGTTTTCTTTCTTTAAAAGTCTACTTAACTTACACTAATTATATCTGCTACTATCGTCATCGCTTCTTTCAGCCACACCGGTCAAAAAATGGGTTAAAGGATCTGTCGCATTCAAAGTAGCAGCACTGTCCTAACACATCACATAGTACAAACTACATATAATTAATCCCAGCGCCACTCCTTTTGGAGTCAACCAAAGCTATGACAGTTGAGTGACGGGACGAAATAAGCAGAAGTTTACCCTTAACCAGGAATCTTTACTTCATGAACAAGAGGTGAGCACAGAGAAATTAAATTGGTTTCCACTAGCTCGTTAAAACGATGTTGGTTATTTGAAACTGTGCATTGCGATTGGAATGAATACATGTTCTGAAGTTCATTTATTCTTTTCCTAAGAATATAGTTGAACAAACTGACATGTTTTTCCACAAAGCACAAAGTGGAACTATCATGTATGGATTAATTAGTCAAATATTCTAAAATACAATATAATAAATTGTTGAGTTTAAACCATTATGTTGATTGGTTGTTGTAGGTCATTCTCAAGGTTGAGCTAGAAAGGAGATATAGCTATGTTACATGTTACTGCTTTATATAATCAGTCGTCTGGGGATGTGCACTGAATCTGGTAAGTTATAAGCTTACTTGGTTTCTTCATTCATAAAAAGAAATACATATATTCAGTACAAAATCATCAAAACATATGTTTTGATTTAATACCCAGTCGGACAAAAAGCGGAACAGTGCGTCTAAAAGGGCGACAAAACTAAGATTCATAGTTTTATCACACTAAATAATTTCGGAAAATTTCTATGGCAACTTTGGGATTTTGAGGAAAATACCACTATTTCGAAAACAATGTACAGGGACTACAGAATCCACATATTTTAACGTAGATATCTTTCCATTTCACTAGTAATCAAGATGATAATTATAGTCTTTTTTGATGTAAATTATAAATCAATAAGAATAGAGTTCATAATTAATACTTTTCTCCATACTAGTCGCGTTATATACCTATTCAGCAACTATAAAGAGTGGTTCCCAGCTAGCATTTTCTTCGGGCGTACTGCAGACTTTTCGGGGCAAAAAACTTCGGACGCATTGCCGATCCTGAGTATTTGACCCGAGGACTGCCCCAAAAAGTCTGCAATGCGCAATTGCTACACTCTGGTTCCGATGGCAAATATCAATCCTTACTCTTCGGAAATGAATTTATGTTTAGAAACTAGTTTATTCTGTCGAAAAACAATTCTCGCAGCAAAAAGATGCCACAGTCCCTCATATGTGAAAGATTAACGATTTGACTGATTGTCTGTAGGTAATTTGACTGCGGTATCTATTCTTTATGGTTGTCTCCTTTTCTTTCATTTGTGTATGATTCCACTCCCAATATTTTGTATTACACTCAACTCTCTTGCTGAGTCTTTCATTTTTAGTGAACCTACTCTACATATCCTCTCAATGAGCCTGCTATGGCTCCCTCAATTGTCTGTCGAGCTAACTGGAGGATTGCGAGGAAAATCGAAATTCGCTAGTCCCAGCAATGCCACTGCCTTGGTAATAACCATACATTTCCTCCAAAAATAAATTAATGTAACTACACTTATTGTATTCAGCAGCAGTAGAGAGTGCACATTGTGCTAGAATCCGCTGAATATTTAGAACCGTTTAGAAACGACATGAAGGAAGCGTCATGGAATCATAAGGTTTATACAAGCTCGTCGAAAAGATTTTGGATTCTCCAAAAATTTTATATTAAGCTTCCTGAAATCCAAAGCTTACCATAACGCCAGTAAGTTCTAACCTAACGCTTTTTTCCTGTGGTGAATAAATGCTGAATCAACACGATCTTCCGCATAACCGATACTAGTTGGAAGCCCACTGGCATTATCTTAACCATTTTTCTGTACTTCACTTATTGGCTCAGAGTTTACTAGCTAAGCTGTGATACGATTGTTAACAATAAATTGTGTCCAAAACGTCATCCAGTAAATAATTCTGTTCCACTGAGTGATATATCCAATCAATTAATATGGAATCAGTAATTCTATTTTATAAGAAGCATCCTGCAAAACAGGAAACTTGGAAATTATTTGGGAAGTCATAAACTCAAAACATATTCCGCAGTTACATTTGAAAGGGTGAATTTGTATAAACTGCAACTGTTTGCACGCGAAATGTTTGTTTGAATTGCTTAAAAATAAAGGATTACTATTATATTTTATACGAAGTTTCATCGCGACTTGACCGAATAGTTACAGAAACGTTGAACGCCGAAAGAAAAGTAAACATGTGTAACAACTGTATTCATATAAATTCCAGAGAAACTGAAATAAGTGATTTTAACGTCTCTTTCAACAAACCGGTCCTAACTTCTTCAGGGAAACTACCAAAATTAAAAGGTATATATAAAAACATCATATTTCGTCCTTAAAGTTCTTGTCTAATCATACCTGGGTTATTAATCTCCAGTACTAATAATATTGACGGTTTGTCTTTGGGACAGAAATTGCAGTCTCTGGTTGTAATTCGATTTCGGACTTAGATTTAAAATCATGAGCACAACTTCAAACCTACCTTCATCTAATAATATTCAGCCTGCATAACTGCTCTGATTCAATCAAATGTCTCGAAAATTCTGATTCCCTGACAAAGCGTCTGTGAAATTTGGTAATCAGTGTTTTCAGTTCTTAAAAATGTTCGGATAAAGCTGCAAGTTGAGTCATCCACTATTTCTGACTAAAAAACTTTCGGGATTTAAAATTTCCTTGGTTAACAATCACCCGATTCATGTATATCAGCTGCAACGGATCAACATTTCTGGTGCACAATTTGAAAAATGGGACTTTATATTGTTTAACATAATAAAAGTTAGTTTATTTTCTCTATCTTGTATTTTTACGATATTGTTTAATGTAAAGAATGCGTTTTTTCTACCTCCTACTTCTCTTAAGGTAGATACATCATTCGCAATAACCACTGAATTTGTGCCACATAATAACTGACGACTAACTATGAACTCTCGTATGGCTATGGTGATTTATTCAATTAAGTCAAAGAATTCTATTTTTAAGAAAATGCGAGTTAGTTCTTTGCGTTTTGGTTCACGCATAGTGGATAATTTGGACAAACTGATGTCATTTGTAAGCTGTTTTCTTATTTATCACTAAAATTTTAAACCTTTGTGACTAGAAGTCTGATTTATTAAAAAACTATTTTATTCTACACTTTTTGTAAGAAGCTGTGGTGTATTAAAGACAGTTGATTTTAGAAATGTGGATCAGTTATTCGAACACTTTATTCTTGAATGACTTAGACATATACTTATTATCACTGAACTCCACGTTCTTGGATTGTTGCCTACTTCACTGTTACTCAGTGTAAGGCATTCAGTTTTGTTTATTTTAAGTGAGTTGTTCGTAGTCACTTTTAACGCACCAGTATTCATGTAACGACATTAACATACTTCTGAAGCTGAGTCCCTCATGGTTATAGGAAAGAACAGAGTCAGAAAGTAATTTTCTCATTGTGAAGGAAATTTTAGTCACATCAGCTCTAAGTTATTGTGGTCACGTAAACTTAACCCAGGCTAATTACGCTTCACCGCACAGTCTGAATTACTATTCAGTGACTTTTTGGCGTAATTCCGTGTTCAGGTTTATCAGCCCGTAGATTTCTTCTAACCTGGTTGTTGTCTCGCTAACATAGACCATTAAGGTAGATAGTGAGCGGTTATTTATAATACTTCTCTCCACTATCCTAGATGGTAGAAATTTGTGATTTACTTGATTTTATAACTTCTACATTACTGGCGCAGCGGTTGCACCAAAGATGGACAGTGATAGCCATGTTTGGTGACCACACAACAAATTGTAGCTCAATGATTCTTAGTATACCCTTAATGGACAGTGACATATTTCTCTCGAAAGTGGTTGGAAGCCATTTTACTTTACAAGGCTTGGTTCATTTTTATAGTAAACCTTTTGGTGAGTAACTTATGGCCCCTTTTTTCTCTGTTAGTCCTACCAATCTCTAGTTTCCTAAAACCGTCTACTTAAGTAATTCGGAATAAACTTGCGAATCCATACATCCTTCTCCATCTCTCTAGCTTCTGATATTCATGACTGCTTACAATCAGTGTGTAGATTCATTGTTGCTTTGAGTATAGATTGCGTCTGCACCTTATTGTGAACAAAGCTTGAGTGAATGTCTTTTGCCTACACCTGTTAACTCTGAAAGGAGCTGCTAATATCTGTCGCTCCTTCTAAGTATGTTTTTGAGTATCAAAAAGCGTCTAACTTTAGTAATAGTGCCAAACAGTAACATTCTTGTGTCTTGCAAGCTGTATGAAGAATTCGTTTTTACACGCACTTAACATTTTCATTGTAGAAGTGGTATTAAAAGTTTCCTTTTTTGTGTTGTTGTGTCTGTAAAGGCGTAGACAAACGCGTACAGGTGTGTAGTGGTTGTCCCTTGATCAATCTCCCCTGGGATAACAGAGAGTACTGAAGTCTTTAATCCCAGCGTTGAGTTAAATTTGAGGGTAGTCATGTTAAATGAAATCTATCCGTATGTCTGAAATTAATACTAGTTAAAAGGTAACCTACTTTACCTAGTTTTGTCTTTATTATTTTACCCTACATTAGTTCTATTTTGAGTATAAAAAGAGTTTCTGCTAATGGGAGATACCAGGTAGCGTCAAACTAACCTTCTTCAAGTCCCCAAAATGAATTTTAAGATTGTTTGAAATGAAGAAAGTCTGGTTTAAACTTATCTTTTTGTCAGCCAAGTATCCACCTAAATCCCTGAGGACAAAAGCAGCGATCACTATTTTACTCCGAAGGACCAGCTAGGGATGATGTAACACTTAGATTACCATACCTTTGAAGTTCAAATATAAAATAACTTCGTTCTGTGTTCAACGGCTAATGTAGCAGAATATTCCAAACGCTAGTTTCACCTAGTCATCTATACACAATAATGAGTTGAGAAAAGGAGTTAAAACAACTGCTCTTTATCATGATCGTAAATTAATTGATTTTAGACGGATAAATTTGCTATTAAATTCAGTACACTTAACCATTCTCTTATTTCACAAGTCTTCGTTTTCAGAAGATCATTGTTGAAGAAGGTAATTACTTGTGTAGCCAATGGAAGCCGAACATAATGATCTCATCCAATTAACCATTCATTTTAGTGTTGATTTCTTTGTAACCAAGTCAACATAATTGTGGTCTCCTCCAATCATAACTTTTTGATACAACTTTCTTTGTATAATTTATTCTATTTTCAGTCGTGTAATATAGACCCATCATTGTCATGGTCTGCCAAAGGTTCTCTTAGCAAAAACAAATGGATACCTGTAACTCCACAAGCTGCTAGCGGCTTTCTTATATCTGAATATGACTCACCGTTGAATTCCACTTGGGTAAGTTTACTTGGTTACGGTAATTAGTATTATAGTCTGTTGATTTAGAGTTGGAGGATGATTGTGGTTCTGAAAAGTCGAATATTTCCTTTACTTTACAACCTGATTATCAAGAGGATCAAGGTTTACTGTGTCTTCCAGTGTCTTCAGTTAACGGCACTTTAGATGAAATTTACTGTAAGCAATCAAAAGTATATTTTTTAAATGTAATTTATTTTTAAATAGTGTCAGAAATGACTAACATTCTCTAATGTGTCCTATCTTAAGTATTCGACTCCATATTAGCGTTTTGTTCGAGTGAAGCTGTTCTGTAAGCTGACAGATTTTACTGATAGATGCTTCAATGTCTAGCTGTAATCTCTAAATATGCTAACTTTTTTCGATGTGCATAAAAATTCTAGATTGAAGTTATCTAAATTAATGTTTGCTGATGAAATGCTTTTGTGGCATATTCTTTATATTGAGAAAGGAGTTACCTAGTCTCTTTAGTTTCAGCGAAGTGTATAAAAGTTTAACTGGTTCACAACATTCATAGTATCGTATCATATAGAACGATACTACATTGTACCATTCATTACTTTTCTTGACGATTTTAGTTCTCGATTTTAGAATATGCACACTAAATCGGATATTCTAAAATTGTTGATATTAGGATGGAAGTCATCATGTTTTATGCAAATCGGGCACTTATTGATAACACTTGTAGCTATCTAATGCTAAGTGCTCTTAAACCTATCAATCATGTAAATAAAGGATACTGTCATTAAGTTAATTGACACTACAATGCTGTCCATTATGTTGTGCTGTAGTTTGATGGTAGATTTTAAGAAAGATTAATTGGCAAGCTCGTATATGTTAGAAAAAATGGACTGTTAAGTTATAAACTACAGGTGAAATGTATCGCAAGATAATCATTATGTTTGTTGCATCAACCGTATATTGTGAGTGTACGCAGTTATCTCATATAACAGGTGATAGGAAAACTAAATATATCCGTTAGGCTACCAATTAGTAAAGTTTATTCTAATGACTTAAAATTCTATCAATATAAAACGAATGCCATTCTCCTGGGACTACTCTTATCACTATATATATATATATATATATATATATATATATATATATGTATATATATATATATACATCAGCAGTGAGTGTCGCATCACTCATGTGTTGTTTACTTCATTATCTAATACACGAAATTCAATTTTAATGTTGTGTTGCATTACTGTTTTTTTGAGAAATGTTACTACTTTCAAATGCATTAAGTTTGGTCCTACTTTTAAACATATAATTCTAACTCATTGGGAAACAATAACGTCGAATGAATACAATGAATAGGAATTAAGATATTCAGTATGAATCTGAATATAAATATTTTAAAGCACAAACCAGTGTATTTATCTTCGTCCCTAATAGCATATTTGTGAGCTAAATAATTAAAGCGATCGGTATCATACTAAACTTATAAGATTATGATATTCCACTTTAGTTGAAAAAAATTAATATTTGCGTTAGGTGAATTTTATTTAGATAAATTTCCATGACGCTTTGTTTATCGACCAGAAGTAACAATCACTATAGTTACTCAACACTGATCATGAATTCACGTAAAATGAAAAAAAAATTAAGTATACTAAGGTTTACAACGACGCATCGAAAATACTAATGAGAGGATAACATAAAATTTCATCACATTTTTTGAGGATAATAGCTGGTACGCTATCTAGACCAAGGGACTAGGAAGGTTTCAGGGATTTGAAACACTTGAGGACATCGTTTATGTTAAAACCGGAGAAGCAGTCATTATTTGCACTTGTAGCATTTGAGGTCATAATACCAGATGGATGACATATGAAAGACTTATTAGAATTACCAGCATCAACTGAAGAAGGATCATAATTTATTTCCTTACACCAGGTGATTTTCTCAAACAGCTTCCACATATTTGATGAGGTTTTGCATGATAAGAACTTTGGGTTACAGATCGTATTTAATCTCCGTATTCCTGATTTAATAAAGAAGTTCAGTCTTTTAACACCAGGATTATCTTTCACTTTGTATAACTTTTGTTTTTCTTGACGGATATTTTTGAACTGAGGAGAGGAAAAGCGGTGTCTCTTTTGGACGATAAACATCACGACAGGATTTGCGATAACCTGTTACTTTTCTGACTGTGTGATCTAGGACTTGTTCCGTAAATAAGTCCCAGTTTGTACCATTTAACATGTTTCTTAGATTCTGTATATTGTCATAAGAGTTACATCTATGTTGTGTTTTCTTGCCAAGACTCAAGATAGCCTATTATGCAGCTTTTCATATATTTTGGGCAATATAAGCACGATATAATGATCAGAATTAAGTAGTGGAGCTCTTTTTCGAACTTCAAATGTGCTGAATTCATTTGTAAACACTAGATCAAGGGTATTTTTTAGTTGTGTTGAGAAGTTGATGTTTTCGTGACCAAGTGATGTAAAGGAACTATAGTTACAAGAAGTGAAGTCACCAGTAACTGTTGACAAGGTTTTCCCGAGGGAAGCAAATGTATCAGCGTTTGAAGATAGTTCTGAGAGACTACATCCAAATGCAATGTAAGTGTTTGAAATGTATTTGTAGTTATATCTGAACCGGTGTTTCGGTCGGCATTTAACAGTGAGGTAGTCAATTTTTTCACTAGAGAATTTAAAACATACATGATTTGAAGTACACCTCTGAGAATTGATGAAGGTTGCAACGCAACCACAGTTCCCAAAAAGAAATATTTCCTTCTAACTTGAACATAAGAAACTAGATGTGATATTATGATGGATAGATTTTTGGTAAACCAAGATTTAAGCAGGCCATGATCAAACTTGATATCAGTTAAATCCCTACAAACCGACGCGTCGGTGGCACAGAGGTAGAATGCAATCCGACCACTTATGTGGTTCGGGGTTCGATCCTCGGTCGATGCACTCCTTTACCCCCCTAAGCCAGTAATACGACTGGTAAAGAGAGAAGGTTGGGCTAGCAACCCCATCTCGTAAAAATAAATACCGAAACTTAAAGCCTCTAGCTTGAAGCCCTATGTTCCACTGGGAACGTAAAGGAATAAAAAAAACACACGTTAGGAAAAAAGATTGGCCTAACTTGCAAAGTGACATTTGTAAACTAGTGGGATATTAACTTGGTAAACCCAACTGGGCAGCTTTTCATAACCAAACTCAATGACGTCATTGAGTATAGATTTCTACTTGGAAGGTACCTTTCAAGTATGGTAATGTTTCTGGTTAGATTAAACGTTCTTATTGTAGAAAATCAATGTAAGGCGTGGGGTGAATAAAATGTATTTTTTAAATTCCACTTGTTAGGTTTTTCGTCACTAACCAGTTGTAGAAAAGAAAAGGCGTTCAGCAAAGAGTTACTCTTTTCGGCGATATCATTCTCAAGCTGTACAAACCGCAAATTTATAGTAATTTTTCTTGGCAAAAAAAACGAATATTTACAAAGATGTGTTAATGCAATTGTTAATTTTTGACAACAAAATACGTAATTTAGAAGGCGTTAATCGGTTAGAAACTAAAATAAAGTTACAAAAGTAGGTTGAGTGACGTAATCTAATTGATAGGGTTCAATGAAAAATGAATGAGAGTCAAGTTAATAATCTGAGTAGAATTCACTTGAAAATAAACGAAAATGGAGTTAGCAACAGTCGTCATGAGGGTAGAGATTTAATAGTGGGTGGGGGTAGAAAATAATGCAGTTAAGAAACAGACAAACAAAGAAGAAAGAGGTAAGACAAAATTACGTATTTGGTGTTAAGATAGATCAGGACCATTGTAGATTTAGTGACTGAACAAACTTCTTTTGTATGCAGAGTTAAGGATTCAATATGTGAATTGCCATTGCTTCTGCAGTTTGAAGAAGTTTAATTCGTACTCTTTATTTTAGTTTCTAACCGATTAACGCCTTCTAAATTACGTATTTTGTTGTCAAAAATTAACAATTGCATTAACACATCTTTGGAAATATTCGTTTTTTTGCCAAGAAAAATTACTATAAATTTGCGGTATGTACAGCTTGAGAATGATATCGCCGAAAAGAGTAACTCTTTGCTGAACGCCTTTTCTTTTCTATGACTGAATGGGAATTTTCAAATTACTAACCAATTGGTTCGTACGAACTGAAATAACACTGATCGTTCTTAAAAGAGCACTAGATGCTTAATTATTAATGCGACGAAACCTTAAAACTAGGATTTGCAACTGAAATGATGCATTTAGTGCTTAAAGAAAGCCGAAATATTGCCGCTATGCACTGAATTAGGTCTTTTTGTTCTAAAGTAATGCCAGTCAGGGCTGAATCGGGACTGAGACGGCTGAATCAACGCTGATTAGCAAACCCAGTAGGTTCTGAGCTGCTTCTAAAAATGCCTAGTAAAAGAACAGGGTGCTGAATTAGTGCCAGTCCTGGTGAGAACCAGCACTGAGTTCTAGTCTATGCGCATAATCAAACCATTTCAGAATTTACTCAGTATAGAACGTTAGAATTAGCGAGATTTAATTCGGTATTATAGTAAGCTTGGGAATAATTATAAAGCTTTATTTGAGACAAAATACAAACATATGGTACAAAACTTTTCAGCGTATTTAGTTCCAAGACACTTTTATCTTCATATAGGATTTACATGCAGAATAATAGTCTGAAGTATATCTTCATTTCGTTGAAGAATTGAACGGCGTTTACTTGGAAGCAAGTTAAATCAGCGCGAACTTCATGTATAGGTTATTTGATATAACTGGACGATTGAAACAATGATAAATCCAGATGAAACTGAGCATTGTGATGAAAAGTAATTTCGGTAGCCCAGTGATTCAAGCAGGCCGCCTACAGTAGTGAAAGAGATAATTAAAACCCAAGGAGCACTGGGCGTTTGCCTTGCCCTACTTTGGGATCCTTCATCAGTGGGCAACGACGACCCCGCGAAGAGTCGAACGCGGGACTTTCAGTTTACAAGACCGAGCTCCTCGACGACTCAGTCACTTTGGCCAAAATTCAGTGGCCCCTGAGTTCTAACTTTGTCAACTCGTGTAATTTATTTACATTAGTTCTCTTTATTATTTCCATATATATATTCTGGTCTTATTGATAGATTTCGCTTTACACATTACGAACATAGTAGCATTCATCATAGGAGACATAAGTTTACAAAATGTGCGAACTTACCTGTTTGATATGGCTGTACACTTATGCTATTTAGTATGTAGACTGATGTAAACTTCTGCCATAATTTACACATCGTAATTAGCGAACTTTAAGTCTGTTAAGAAGTATAAATGTAGTCGTATCTCAATTGCAGCCAACCACTAGGAAAAATATCTCTTTGTAATTTGCGTCTATTTGTTGGTTTAATTTGTAGTACAGAAATGATAACTTATTTCTTCTAGTGTATTACTCCTAAAATATATATTTCTTACTTTTATCTTCAGTATATTATCTATTTATTTATGGATATACACCACCTGATTCGGATTGTGGAGCACCTCTCACCTTAAATCTTCCATCAGTTACTCAAAATGCAGTTCATCAACCAATGATAGTCGGTCACGCTGGTGCCGGTGTAAGACGTGCACATTACGGTAAGGGTCAACAATGGCCTGAAAATACTATATGCGCCTTTCAACGTGCTGAACAACTTGGCGTAAAAATGGTGGAATGTGATGCAACTTTAACAAAAGACTTTGAAGTTGTTTTGCATCATAACTACACTCTAGGTGTTGTAGAACAGGTGAGAAAATGTGAAAGTGATCCATCTACCTTCAAATTAGAACATAAACGTGAGTTAGTTTGTTAACTTGTGATTGTAAATCTATATTGGATGTGGTTTAGAAAATATGAAATTATTTCAGTACAGTTCAAAGTTTATTGAATCAAGAAAAGTCCTAGTGAATATGAGGAAACTCAATAGTCAGTTAAGATAAATATACAGGAAGAAGAAGTTACCCCTCATTATTTAACAGCTGTAGATACTCTACATAAACTAGTCGTTAGATCAAAAATTCTCTGCTATTTTTTAAACACGATTTTACCACGAATCTTACATCAAAAAATGTATCGCAACTTTGTCTCAAGGCTTTGATTACTTTTTTGTTCTTCATCGGGCTCATTATGATAAAAATTGTTGTATTACAAATCAATTATGTTTGTGTAAAAGTTAACCGATCGATAAATCACTAGTAACTGATTATTGACGAATAACGTTAAAGACGTAATAATCTGCTGGGAGAAAAACTAAGGTACTTATAATAAACAGTCTTATTTAATTTGTTTTGATAGTATAGCCGATTTCAATGTCAACGTTTGCTTCGAGTAACTTCTTCATCAAATACCATAATCGAAAATCCATCAATAGGGTTATATAAGGCATTCAAAAATGATCCGGGATTTCAATCAGCCACATACACGGTGCACAGATGAAGTCCAATGAATGTTTGTTTTGAAAAGTGAATAACAGTCAACTAAGTGTTGATTACATATCGATTGAAACCTCACTAAATGCATTTCAAACGAGCTGTAGACTTTCGCTAACAGTCACCTTTACTGGCTCGACACTGAAGATTAGATGGGATAATCAACAAGGAACCCTGACAGCGAACCAAATAAGAAACTATTGTTCAACAAATGTGCAGAATAAAATGGAGATGAACTGAACATCGGCTGTGGTGACTGTGTACTGATACCATATACGCAAGACTGTCGAGTGGAACCCTAATAAAAAAATAATGAGTTGACCGTCTTAGGGTGGCATGGAGAAGATCATGTGAAGAGGAAATGAACACTTGTGGACAGTCGTCTAAAAATGTTAGCAGAGAACCCAATGTGATGAAGATTTGCTGCAGAATCCCTATGTTTCGCATAGAAATCAAGGAACGAATAATGGTAATACATCAAATACGGTAAATTCGTAAGAAATCTGTTTGTTTATGAAGATGCTTAAAGCAAAAATGAGAAGTCATGTATGTGGTAAAATATATGTTAATGGTCATGCGAAATATCAGCTTTAGTTTTAGTATGATGAGCTTACTTTCTTTATTATGAAAAGAAATACAATATTTAAGAAAGCTTAGGCTCTCTTACAGGGGAAGTTTGTAGCTGTTTCCAAGATGAGTATCCTATCATAATGTCATACACTAGTGAACTTACAGCAAAACACATTGACAGTTGAACATTTAAATTAACTCACATTACTTAGTAAATTCCACCTGGCAGATAGAATCATCTTATCTAGCTGAAATCTTGACACAATATTAAAGTCTCTCCACATTGTTTTTCACTTCATTTGTTCAAAGTGTTGCTGTTATTACCGGCAGCAGTTTAGATATGTTGTTGTTCGTAAGTACTACAAGCTTATAATCTTAATCGATTAAGGAACTTTCTCTTGTCTCTGTGATGCCTGATGATGGGTTTTCGTAAGGGATCATTCTTTTTTTAACTTAAAACTGTCCTAGATATGTGTGTTGGCGTTAACTAGGCTATAAGGTCTATATATATATTGTACTTTCAATCTTTTACAATCAATTGTAAACTAAGCTTACTGTACAATTCAGATCGATCGGCCACCTGTTTCAACAACTAAATAGATTTCTGGTCGAAAAAAAATAATCAACCGTTTATACGAAATCCATTTAACAAAACCTTACACAAACTTCTAATACCGAGTACATTTCTACATTCCAAGACACTGTTTCTCAATATATTCCCAAGCATATTGCAAAACCACGCAATTCCTACACATTAGCCGGGTGTGCGTGTTCTTCCTTATCCGAGCTTTTTATTATTTTACAATGGTGTTTATTTTCCACTATGAATAGTATCTAACATAATTTGTTTTCAATTTTGTATTTTTTTAAAGCTGATGGTGCGGTGAACGAAAACAGTACAGATTTGATCGTAAATTATTCTTTATCTGAAATTCGTGAACTGTTAAGCAAGATTGATAGACCAGCAAACCTTGACACTGCTAAGGAGAATAAATATCTTCAACCTCTAACTGGTAACGATCCCACACCAAATATTCATGGCGTTGAAGCTGCACCAGTCCCGCTATTAAAGGATGCATTTCGGCAAACTTCTCCAAATCTTGCCTTCAATGTAGAGATAAAATATCCACCGGAGACTCCATTGAGTATTATTATTGAAGAATGTAACAAAAACAAATCGATAAATTCTTCTTTACCAACGCCGTACACATATTTTTCTAAAATAAATAGATTTTGCGACAAAATATTGGACGTAAGTACATTGCGTTGACATATTCTGCCGTTTATTCCTATAATACTGACTATTATTCTAGTGGACTTTATGAAATCTTAATATTGCGCCTAATGCCACATATGCAAGTGGAAATAGTGGTACAAACAACCGATTTATTTCAATAGCTGTAAACACTGTACATAATTTTGTAGTGTTAACCCCATGCAAAATATGTTATAAAGTCGAGATTCAGTTAAAATTGAATCTTGAGATTCTGCACGGTGGCAAAATAAAATTCCATAGTAGATAAGTTTATTTGACGTAACAGAAATAATAACTGAATGTCGTTCCGATGAAAATGTATTACACTACATGGAGTGTGGCAACATGAACCGCTGCACTTCTGTGAAGAGTTCTACACTGACATTCAGTCAGTTAATAAATACTTAATTGTGATATGACAGTCAGTCTAATTCAATAATACATGAGTCTGCTTTGGTTTCAGTAAACAAACAAGAAATTCGTCTACATTAACATCGTGAATAGTAGTTCATAAATGATCCAGTAGGGCCTAGGAACGTAGTACTTATCGCAGGATAGTATTCATCTAAAGAATCACTAAAAACCAAGTTAATCAAAAGGATTGTCATGTACGTATTGATTTTCACGTCTCCTAAATGAGAAACAAGGCTAAACCATTTTGTTACACTATAACTAGCAGCTTTTATTGCATGGTTGTACACTGATAAAATTGTAAGTTGCATAACTTTTTTTTGCTAACCTATTTTTACAAACAGCAGAAAATCAGTAATTCTTTGTTGAAAATTTTCTTTACAGACAATATGGTTAAATGCTGGACGCAGATACGTCATTCTATCTTCTTTCAATCCAGATATATGCTTAGCCTTGCGACTAAAGCAATCTTTTCTACCAGTACTGTTTATTTCACGCGGTGGAATTCCGTGTGATAATAGTCACAGAACAGATCCTCGACATCATAATATATTCTCTGTTATGAACTGGGCAGTTATAATGAATTTCAGTGGAATTGTTACAGTTGGAAAACATTTTGATTCGACAAACTGTGTTGATAAAATGCCACCGAAATCTTTGACAGATTTTTTGAACAGTAAACAACTATCGTGTTTTGTTTATGGTGATGGTGTATCAGAGATGGAGTTTTTCAGAAAAGCATCACAATTCGGCTTGACAGGAGTAATAGTCGATAGATTAGATGAATTTATGCTTGAGTATAACAAACATTACAGTGGAACAAGCAACTAAATCTTATGAACACAGCTGTCTTTGTGATTTTATTGAAGGAACTTCCACTCACTATTGTTAATTTAAAACATTCGTAATATTCAACTGATTTTCTCTAATAAAGTGTTATAGTGACGTAGTATATAATTTTTAGTGAGTAGATTAAAAGTGTGAAATAGTTATAAGTATAAACATATATTGGGGGAGATTATATAGGTATATGCGTAAATTTTTGCGGTACATACGTACACTGTAAAATCTTGTAAACAATGTCTGAGAAATATTTACATAAACGTAAGTTCAAGTCAAAGAACACCTAATTAGTGAAAGTTGGCATGTTATGGAAGACTGCATGTCAATTGAAACAATGATTAATGTTTCTGGGCACTTTTGATTCGATCCAAACGACGTTTAAGATCCATTAGTTCAGTTGCAGACATAGTTATTCTGTGATCAGGTGCTGGTTGAATATTTTCGTCTGGAGAATCAGAGTTTTGATCACCTTTTGGTTTAATCATATTCTGAGAAAGAAAAAAACGTTAGTAAATAATAAGAAATAACAAGTTATACATAAATATCAGTAGATTTTGTATTTTCAAGCATTGGTTTATGTATGGATTTGTTTGATTGGTTGGAGGATTTCGTCATGAGCTGACATCAGTTAGAGAACTATTGAAAAACCTGGGAGTACTAGACAGTTGTTTCGTCCTAGTTTGGGACTCTTCAGTAGTACACCTTCAGCTCGTCATGTAGCCATAGGGTTTTGCGTTCTATTCCCGGGTGGGTGCGCGCTGATGAAGAGTATCAAACTAGGACGAAATAGCTGTCCAGTACTCCCAGATTTTGTATTTACCTACTGATTCCAAAACTATCTCGTGTGGCAAAGCAAACAATACTACTTATAAATTATGACCTGTGAGAAAGATAATTCTACATCTGTGAGAAAAGCTTTTATCGATTTTTAAAATCGTCTAGAAGCCGATATATAATCCCAGCCACTAGGTTATCGGAGCGATAGAAGCGGAAGACCAAGCGAGACCACATATAAACAACTGCAGGAAGCTTGACATCCAGAAAACCTTCTGGAACTATATTTTTTTTACAATGTAACTATATATTGTCACTGACTTCTTACTTACTTCATCATAGTGCCTGACAAAAAAGCAACCACAACGTTGCGCGAGTAAAATATTAAGTATTATCACTGTAATGCGTAATTGGCGCCGTAGACAGTTAGTGAGTTTTGTACACTTTCAGAATCAAAGTTATGTAGTGGAACGCAGCATAAACCATCTGTCCTATAATATCATCTTCACTTATTCTAACTCATCATAAAGAGGATATATTGTGATTGTAAAAGATATCTGCAGCATGGGGTTATAGATAACTGCAAACTGCATTACAAAGCAACCAAATTTGAGATTTGACATCATCTGGCTACTTTCACTAATTGACACTATTTGATACTTTGTGTTTGCATTAAGTATTCACTTTCACAAGAGATCGTGATGTATCAACAAAGAGATGAAATGATAATACAGCTACATGCACGTATATCCAAAGATGCATAATTTTATTATGATCAAATGCTCAAGTTTACATCTGTCTAAACATATCTTCGTGCAATTAGTTCTTTTTTATAAAACACACATTACGATTAGTATTTTTGTTTGCTTCATGGAAGTATATTTTCATGGAAACAATTTATATTCATGTAAACAAAGGATACACTTACCCTGAGTGTTGTCTCTAATACTGTGCCTTGTATTCCTGTTTCATCGACTGCACCAATATTATCATCAACGTTTGTTGTTGATATGCCACCAAGACCTAGTTCTCTTCGCAACATTGCAAGTCGATTCATAAAAACTTTAGGATTAGTAGGCTGTCCATCAGTTATATCTGCGCCTAAATCTTCATTCCAGTTAGGACGTACTGAAATGCCATTTGGCTGTTATGAAATTAAATGAATAATTAGTCAAATAATGGGTGAAAATATGATAGATGTAACTGTAGTAATGCAAGCACTAGTGAATCCTTTAACAAACCATACAACTGAACACTGGTGTGATCCATTCTGTCTTAGTGTTTTGCATTATATTTACTATTCGCTAGCTACGTCAATAATCAGAAGATGTAGGAAAATGATGTCATAATATGGAGCTACCAGGTGAAGGATTAATGAAATGAGCTTATAATGAACTTATTATTATTATTATAATGAACTTCTCAATGAGGGGTTCTAGAGAATTTACAATTTTGCGGGATAATACATCAGACAAGACTCAAAATTCAAGAAATTGGTATCCTCACTTAATTTTTTTAGGTATACACTGTGAGACTACCACCTATAAGACAATCTTGTCAGTGTCTCTCAGATTTCATTACCATTCATTCAAGAATGTTATCAAAAAGTAGAGTTCATATTTGTCTGGCAAGAGGACTTAGTCAAGAAACAAAATATACTACTCTGGTCTTCAGTTTCATAATATAACTACCAAGTCTACCGATAAGCATCATGCAAAGTTATTACAATCTCAATGTAAAAAGCTGCACATTGAGGTTAACCGATCATTTACTAATGATAGCAGATGGCAGTTAGGTAGTAAATCCTCACGCGGCCGTTTTACTTGTGATAAAAATGACATTAACAACAGTCAGCTTTCATGTTGTTAAAAAATTAAACAGACGTTTTGGAAGTGATTGTTTATAGAAAAGTTATCTTTGACTGCCACCGTGAAAACTGACGTGTGAAAAGTCCACTATTATTATTTATAGCAACTGTGGAAATAGGGCTCATTGGCTTCCACTATATGAGTGCCGAGTTTATATCTTGGCCCATCTACTTCAGCCTGGGCAATTAGAGTAGTGTCGAATAGCCCTCACACAATAAGTGATATTTGTTCCAAGTCAACCATACCAATCATTTTTTCAAGGAACACTTTGTACTCACCTGATGAGGTGCCAATTTATTGGCTTCTTTGTCTTCCGATGCTGTTCGTGCTTGACGTGTACGTTCAACAGCTATATTTCTTAAAGCTTGTTTTATATACGCTTGATAAAACTGGCTTGTGTTTGTCAGATATGAAGATAAATCTATGTCTGGGTACCGCTGAGTAAAATCATATAATTCATTCAATCCCTGTTAAATATGAGATAAAGATCAGTAATAAATACACTAAACATATGAACTATAGAGATAACTTTTAGAAAAAAAGACACTCATACGATTAATCAAGTGATTGATTAATTAATTAGTGCAATTTGTCGTAAAATGCATTTCTTCAAAGAAATATACAGAAAGAGTAAAATTCATTATAAAATAGAGAGGTGAGTAAACATTGATCAAAAGCTCATAAATATTTCAAGCAAGGTAAGTGATGCCCACTCATTTTAAGTCCTGTGACAAACCCCACTTATCAACATATGATCAAGCATGGTATAAGAAGATCAAATCTACTTAAACGAGTCACGTCGATATTTGAAGTTGAATTGCGTGCTTATTCAAACGGATCAATATTTCATACAATGAAATACAACAAGCACTAGTAAGGGATTCGATTTACTGCCGTCTGACATATATGATATATATTAGAATACCGAAGGGAAGTTACTCACACTGGGAAACTGAAGGTGTTTTTCTATTTTACTGCTCCAGTTAATGTTCTAACGTTAAGGTAGACAGCTGCAGTACAACGATTTTTACCGGTGTATAAGTAAGTATTCAGCAATTAATGCACCATGTACCGATGTTATATCTGTCCAGCTATACAATCTCGTTACAATACAAGCAAATACATTAAAAAAAATCAGAAATGACTAACAAATACTATCCTGACATCGTGGGTTTTATTTCTCACTGAAGTTCCCTGCTACTATCAAATTTGTCGATTAATCTATTATTCTACAGCTTATTGTTCTTAGAGGGATCTAAATAGCTTATTGATGATTTATTAATCCAGAGAAGAATACACAGATTCGTCAGGCGATTTTTAATTTTGGAGAAATGACCTCACAGTTCTTTCTATGAAATATTGAATTCCCCTTAAGGACGTAATATAATGAGAACCAGAGTCATGTTCTGACAAATAAGAATTTTCAAGTATTGGTTTGCAGGGATATTGTTTGATTGTTTGGAGGATTCCATCATGAGCTGACATCGGTTAGAGAACCATTGGAAAATCTGGGCGTACTAGACGACTGTTTCGTCCCAGTTTGAGACTCTTCATCAGTGAATGACTAGAGAATCGACATGCGTTGGGGTTGATTCCCCATATATCTTAATTGTAAAATATTTGAAACAAAATACACAGAGCCATTGACTCGGTGCCTCTTTATCAAAGATAATTACCGTCGTGAATTATAAAAGTTAGTCCAACAGACAAAGAGATTTAGACGGCACATAACTGAGAGACAGGGTACAAATTAATGGAAATTTTACCCTAAATGATGAATTATCACATTTAATCACACACAAAGTGATCTTCCGACTAATTCATTTTATTTTTCATATGATTTGAATATGTACTTTAATATTTATTAAAACCCAAGTAATTCTGCTGACGAAGGTGCGGCATACACAGTGAAACTTTGAAAAAAAATTCCGCCTTGATTTTTTTAACATGCCGGGATTACTTACAAATAATTTTATGATATTATCAAGTGTTGCTCACAAGATTCAATTCAAAATAAGTGTGGGTGAAAGAAATTCTATTGTAAGCGTAAACAAATGTGAGTAATATATGCATCTAAGAATATCACATCATTGTTTATATGAGATTTACACCAATGGAATTGTAGACATGAATATAATATGTGTAAGAAAAGCAGTTTTAACAAAACTTACTTCATCAGCTTTCTTTGATCCAATCTTATTAAATATTTCAGTTAATTTTTCACGAGTACCAACAGAAAGTACAAATGCCTAAAAACGGATTTTAGAAGTGACGACAAAATCAATTAAGGGGGTTACAGATAAACGTAAGATACTTCTCATTGTTAAGAATTTTAAGTGACACTAT